CTGCTGCCAAGCTTGATGACCTGAGTTCAATTCCTGGGGCCCACATGATGGAAGGTGAGAAGTAACTCTTGCAAGTTATCCTCTGACCTCCACATGCCTGTGGTGGCACGTGGGTGCCCATATATGTACAGCCAGAATAAACAAATGTAATAAAAAATAAGTAAATAAGACCCCAACTCTCCACTAGAAAATCCTTAGAGCTGATAAACACGTTCAGCAAAGTGGCAGGATACAAAATTAACACACAAAACCAGTAGCTGCCCTTCATGCCCATGAAAAACAGACTGAGAAGGAAATCAGGGAAACAATTCTGTTTCCAATGACCTAAAAAAAATACCATAGAAGAAACCTAATCAAGGAAGCAAAAAACCTTAACAGCGAAAACTGTAAAACATTGAAAGAAGGAAACGCTTAGAAAGGGGACACTATAAGATGCAAAGATTGCCATGTTCATAGACTGGAAGTCTCAACATTGCTAACATGACTATATTAGCAAAAGCAATCTACAGATCCAATGCAATCCCCATCAAAATTCCCAAGAAAAGTGTGAAATCCAATGTTAACTTCACAGCTTCAGAATGGCTCTTTTAACTGTTTAGAAGTTCATTGTGATATATATTGGGTCTGATGGATTTGGTGCATGATTTTATTTTATTTGCATGTTTTTAAAAGATTTAAAAAAGTAACATTTTTTAGAAATAGAAAAATCTTTCTTAAAACTGTCTTAGTGAGGGTTACTATTGCTGTAATGAAACACCATGACCAAGGCAGAGGCCATGGAGGAATGCTGTTGACTTACTTGCTCTACATGGCTTGCTCAGACTGTCTTCTTATAGAACCCAGGACCACCAGTGCAGGGGTAGTCCCTCCTATAATGGGCTGGGCCCTCCCACATAAATCACTAATTAAGAATGTGCCCTATAGGCTTGCCTACAGCCTGAACTCATGGAGGCATTTTCTCATTTAAGGCTCCCTCCTCTCAGACAACTCTGGCTTGTGTCAAGTTGACATAGAAGTAGCCAGTACAAACTCATATGAAAGGACAAAAGGATCCTGCCACCCTGCCCATAGCCAAAGCAATCCTGAGCAAAGAGAATATTCTGGAGGTATCACCAAACCTGATACTACAGATACGTAAAAATGAAAACGACAGAGTACTGGCACAAAACAGACATCCAGATCAATGGACTAGAATAAAAAAATCTATAATAAGCGCATACAGCCACAGCCATGGCCACCTAATTTTTTACAAAGGTGCCAAAAACACACATGGGAAAAAAAGACAGCATCTTCAACAAGTGGTGATAAGAAACCTGGATCTCTTCAGGTTGAAGACCCAAGCTAGATCCTTATCCCTCACCCTGCGCAAAATCAGCACCAGTCAGAGCGAAGACTGTAACAAAAGACTTGAAACTCTAAACTGCTGGAGAAAAAAGTAAAAATAGGTGGCGAGGAAGGACGAAGGTTGAGCAGAAGGACACACGGGACATGAAAGCGGACTAGAGACTAGGAGAGGTTACCGGTGGGACGGAGGTAGCAGAGGGTCGAAGGAGATGGGGAGGAATCCACCACAGTGCATGGTTTTTGGTTTTGTTTTGGAAGCACCATAACCATATGTGGATTTTTTTTTCCTTTTTTGTACTCAGGGTCGCACTATGTAGCCTTGGCTGGCCTGGAACTCGCTGTGTAGATCAGGCTGGCTTTGAACTCACAGAGATCCTTCTGCCTCTACCTTCTGAGTGCTGGGATTAAGGATGTGAGCCACCATACCTGACTTGTACACTAATTTAAAAAAATTAAAAATTGCTAAGAAAAACAATAAACAAATGTTGCTGAGATGCCTAGATATCCATTTGGGGAAATGATCTTCACTGCCTAACTCACACCATACACAGACGTTAATTCACGGGGATCACAGATCTAAACCAAAGCTAAAACTATGGAGTTCTTTTAAAACATAGAAAAATATCTTTAGGACTAGGAGTCGCAACTTTTTCTTAGAAAAGATATGAAAAGTAATAACTAAAAAAAATCGATAGGGTTGATCAAAATACAAGACATCTGTTCAGCAGAAGACACATTAAGAAAATGAGTGCACACCAGGCATGGCGTGACGGAGGCAGGAGAGTCAAGGGCTCCAGACCAACCCGGATAACACAGCAAGACCCCAACTCACAAGGAACATAAGCTACAACCCGGGAGGACATGTGCAACTCACATATCTAAAGAAGGTCAGGGTGCAAAATGTGGAAGGAACAAAACGTGGTTTTTCAAGGAACAGAATGAGAACAATGGACATAAAAGGTCTGAGTGGATAATGCCCAAAGGAAGATACATGAGTGACCAGTTACCAAATAAAAAAATGTGTTCAATGTCCCGTGGCCCAGAAATGAGTCTTTCCTGCCTTCTGGCCTCTATGAACCACATGCAGACAGTCTGGTTCACCTCTTCATTCACACCTTGTATGGACTGTGTAGACACGGCACAGTGACCACCTCTTGGTCTCTAAAGTAACTCCATAGAACATGCCCCCTGCTAGGTCTAGACCCACCCATTAGAACATCTCATAGGCCACTTGCTTGGAAATGACTTAGACTTCCTTCAGTGATGGCTTTAGCCCATGGGCCCCTTTTCTCTCTGTCTCTTGCTCTCTGCCCATTTGTGGCACACGGAGGTCGCCAGCTGGTTCCTCTCTTGCTGTTGGCCTTGTGAGGTTCATTGAGGTCCAGCTCTGACGACGGCACACAGCTTCTGTCACGGGCCTGGTGTGCTGTCTCTCCTCAGTCACACCTAACCATGACACTGAAACCTAACTCCTTTCCAGGCCAGGGCTGCCCTGGAGATTGTCTTCCCAGGTTCTTCTCAAATGCATTTAGCCAAACAGAAGTTTGTAGAAATTCAAGCAAGGAATGGACATGTCTACCTTGAGGTCCCTCAGCAAGTGTGGGCGTTTCCAGCAGGAAAAGAGGAAGGAGACGGCTCCTGGAGTGCTTCGGTGTAATTGGATCTCGGGGACATTGTCCCAAAGGGCTAAGAAGTTTCCCAACTGTGCCATTTCATTTCTGAACTTTTAATCACTCTAGGGAGTGCAGGAGTCCCATGTATGGCGTTGGTTTCAAATCAACCCCCCTGTGTAGAGATGCTCATCAGATGCCGCCTGAATAGAGCATCAGATAGATGCAGAGACCAAGTGGGAAAGACAAACTTTGAGTTTTCTCTTCAGATCAGAAGTGGCATCTCAGCCTGGGCCCCTTAAACCACTGCTACCTTTTCTGGCCTGGATACCCTTCCTTAGCCGCAGGCACTCCCTTCCCGACAGGTGTCTAATTAAGGTAAGTAAGGATTCCTGTAAAAGCCAACCTCGACCTTTCATTAAGCTTATCGGCGTTCCTAGTGTCTGACTTGACTTTCTACAGTGACTGAGTTTGAATAAATTAAGCAGTTCAGTGGCATCACCAAGACTGGGGACCAGACTGTACCCCTTCCTGAGTCTGAAAACTTGGAATGTCAAGAGACAAGTTCTGCCAATTTGAGCTCATGGGTTCACCTGACTTGGGAGACTGACCCATAACCAAGGTGGCCCCATCTCACAATGACCTTCCACAGACTCGGGCAGTTTAAGGAGGAGATGGTCACCATCATATGAGCGAGAGAAGCCCAGAAGGGTGCTGGCTCCTTCCACATGGAGAATCTCCTGTTGTTCTAGAGATCCGCAAACACAGAGCAGGCTGTTTGGGAACGTAGTGAGCTCCTCCACGCCAGGAGATCAAGCTGGGACTGAAAGGCAGGGCACCAGTGCTGTTCCAGGAGGAACAAGAATGGGAGAGGAGGCTGAACTGGATTGCTGAGGGGCATAGGCAGTGTTGGAGCAGAGGTCTGGGTGACATGCTGAGTCATAAGTCTCGAGGACTGTTATGTCCACTGATGCCTGTGTGGATGCCCACCCAGAATGAAGGAAACCTAGCAGAATTATGGCCACCCCTCAGTTTATCTTTAAGAAACATCAGATGCAAACTGTTAGGGACATATCAGGATGTCCAGAGTATAAAGTCACCTAGGAAATACTCACCCTTTGTTATATCTCTCTAGATACCACCTTTCCTTTTCCTTAAAGACTCAAGAGAATTCTGTATCTCCAAGAGAGCTTCTATGAGCCCTGTTCCCATTAAAGCCCTCTGCTGAATCCCCGAATGTGGCTGGATATTCAGACACACTGGATAGATTGACGGAGAATGGATGAAAAGTGAATCAATAGGCGGAAGGCCGTGGGCCTGGCGATACGAGAGATCTGGAGAGTAACTGAGTGTGATTTCTCTGAGAAGGCTGTGGACCAAAGCAATGGTTTTGGCAGGTGTGGTGGCTCACACATGTAATTCCAGCACTCAGGAAGCTGAGGCAGGAGGATGGCCATGAGTTTGAGGCCAGCCCAGGTTAGCCTCAGTGAGAGTGAAACCTACCAAACAAAGACAAATAGACAAACAAAAAACCACAAAGACAGAGAGAAAAGAAGAAGGGAGGAAAGGGAGGGAGGGAGGGAAGGAGGGAGGGAGGGAGGGAGAGAGAGAGAGAGAGAGAGAGAGAGAGAGAGAGAGAGAGAGAGAGAGAGAGAAGTTTTAAGGCAAGGATTCACAACTACGTCTCTAACATCTGGCATCAAGCAGGGGGAACATGAAACACACTTAGTCTCTTCTCTGAGTATTATTTCTGGTGAATTACCATACAGGATACAACATGAATAAAATGAGTGTTTTGTGTGTCATTTTATTGATCAAATGCATTTAATTATCAGATTTGTGACTTTGTTGTCTTTAAGCCCCAATTTTTGATATTGATTGTGTTGCTTTTTTTTTTCTTGTAAAGAAAAAAAGCTTCTGTGAGCTTTCAGAACTGTCTCTAATCACTCCACCAAACTGGGGCTGCAGACCTGATGTCCTGGCCCTATGCAAAGAATGTTGGCCTTGGACCTAAGTATTTGCTTCAGTTGACAGAGAACACGCAGAATGGAAAGTAACAACCAGACCTCCCCTGTGACCGGCTTCATTCTCCTGGGTCTCTCCGCCCACCCAACGCTGGAGAAAACCTTCTTCCTGCTCATCCTGCTGATGTACCTGGTGATCCTGCTGGGCAACGGGGTCCTCATCCTGGTGACCATCCTCGACGCCCACCTGCACACACCCATGTACTTCTTCCTGGGGAACCTCTCCTTCCTGGACATCTGCTACACCACCTCCTCGGTCCCCCTCATTCTCGACAGCTTCCTGACCCCCAGGAAGACCATCTCCTTCTCAGCCTGTGCAGTGCAGATGTTTCTCTCCTTTGCCATGGGAGCCACCGAGTGTGTGCTCCTGAGTATGATGGCGTTTGATCGTTATGTGGCCATCTGCAACCCCCTTAGGTACCCAGTGGTCATGAGCAAGGCTGCCTATGTGCCCATGGCCGCCGGCTCCTGGGCAGGTGGAATTGTTGCCTCCATGGTTCAAACATCCCTTGCAATGCGGCTGCCCTTCTGTGGGGACAATGTCATCAATCACTTCACCTGTGAGATCCTGGCTGTCCTGAAACTGGCCTGTGCTGACATCTCCATCAATGTTATCAGCATGGGGGTGACAAATATAATCTTTCTGGGGGTCCCGGTTCTCTTTATTTCTTTCTCCTACATCTTCATCCTCGTCACCATCCTGAGGATCCCCTCTGCTGAGGGGAGGAGGAAGGCCTTCTCCACCTGCTCTGCCCACCTCACTGTGGTGATCGTCTTCTATGGGACCATCCTCTTCATGTACGGGAAGCCCAAGTCCAAGGACCCACTGGGGGCAGACAAGCAGGACCTTGCAGACAAGCTCATCTCCCTCTTCTATGGGGTGGTGACCCCCATGCTGAACCCCATCATCTACAGCCTGAGGAACAAGGATGTGAGGGCTGCTGTGAGGAATCTGGTGGTACTTAAGAAGAGCTCCACCTAGTGATGTTTGGAGGACAGAAATGCCCATAGTTCTGTGCTCCTTAGCTGTGCTTCTCCGTGAATCTCTGAAACATGTTCTCCAAAGGAAGTGTATGTAAAAAGTGATTATCTGAAAATGGTATTTCCCGTATATTGGAGAGCTGGACACAATTAAAATGATGAAACCTAAGACCTGCTGGGCAAGTGCCTTAAAGATGAAAATGGTATGCTGCCAGAAAAGGGGGGCAATGGGGGGTTATCTCATTCTCTACCCTACAAATCTGAATTCACCTTTCTAAGCAGATTGCTACTCTGTGTGGGGACAAGAAACATGTATCTTGTGAAATCATCCATGGCTTTTGGATCCCAGGGGTATACTCCCATTAAGTGGGGCCCAGCCAGTGCTTATAAATTGCTGGTGGAAGACAGGTTTCAGAAACAATGCAGAAGAGATGTCAACGTCCTGACGTTATAAATCAGGGAGCTGGGAACTAACCAGGGTGTGTCCGGAAGTTCCTGGTGCTAACTCGGCAGGTGGGAAGAGAGACAACAACATTAGAAAACCACCGTGGTGTGAGTGTGAGATGTCCCCCACAGGCTCCTGTGTTGGAGCACTCAGTCCCCAGGTGGTGGCACTCTCTGGGGAGGGTGTGGGAACTTCAGGAGGAAGGGTCTGTCAGGCAGGAGGAAGGAAGTCACTGGGGGTGGGATTGAAGGGTTATAACTTGGCCCTGAGCTCCACCAGAGCAGTCTCTGCTTCCTGACTGCTGACATGATGTAACCATCTCCCTCACACTCCTGTTGCCCCAGCCAGGGGCTGCCTCTGCCCCCTGCCTTCCCAGCCACGGTGAACTGCACCCTCTCAAACCATAGCCAAAACGAAGCCTTCTTCCATGCTGGAAATTCCAGCTATTTGGGAGACTGAGGCAAGAAGATTGCAAGTTCAAGCCTAGTGCTACTTAGAGAGAGACCTCAGCTCAAAGTAAGAAAGTTCAAACTGACAGTGATGATGTAGGGCACTGGGGAGGCAGCTCCGCATCGATCACTTGCCTGGCTAGCCCGGTGAGGCTCTGGGTTCCGTCCCCAGTTCAATCCCCGGGGTTGGAAAAATAGCAGCAACAGCAACAATGCTCTCTCTTCCTGACCTTGTTTCCGACCGGTACCTTGTCACAGGACAAGTAAGCAAGCATAGAGGCAGACCGGTATGGAAACAGCTAAGTTTTAGGTGAGTCTTCTCCTTTCCCGCCTTTGACGGTAAGATTTAAAGCCATAGAAAAGCTGGGGAACAAATCCAGACACTCATCTCCGGGGCCTGACAATGATCTGTCACAGCCATTCTGTTCATCCCCAAGGAGTGCTTCTCTGGCTTTTTTTTCTTTTTCAGTGTGAGGAAAGTGTGGAGAAATCAAACCCAGGACTTTGCACAAGCTGGCCGTCATTCTACTACTGAGCTACATCCCTGCCTTCCCTGTCCCTTTCCTGGCTTATTTTGATGCAAAGCCCAGATGGTCACATGGTCTATATTTATATCTTTTGGTATATGTCTCTAAAATCACTGGTGCCATGCTGTGCTGGCTAGGTTTATGTCAGCTTGACCCAAACTATAGTCATCTGAAAGGAGGGAACCTCAACTGAGAAAATGCCTCCATAAGATCGGCCTGTGGGCATTTTTTTAATCAATGATTCATGGGGAGGACCCAGCCCATTGTGGGTGGTGCCACTCCTGAGCTGGTGGTCCTGGGTTCTATGAGAAAGCAGGCTGAGCAAGTCAGGAGGAACAAGCCAGTAAGCAGCACCCTCCACGGCCTCAGCTCCTGCCTAGGTTCCTGCCCTGTTTGAGTTCCTGTCCTGACTTCCTTTGACGATGAACAATGATGTGGAAGTGTAAGCCAAAGAAACCCTTGCCTCCCCAACTTGCTTTTTGGTCATCATGTTTCATTGTAGCAACTTAGTTAGAAACACTAACTAAGACACATGGTAAAGTAACATATATACATATATACAATATTGTAAATAGACGACTGACACATCGAAAGCCCAGCAATGATTCTTCTGTAACCCATTATCCAGGGTTCATATCTCTAAAAATGTCCCACTTGCTCCATGTTTTGTGAGTCTCATGTAGCCCAGGCTGGCCTCAAACTCACTATGGAGCAGAGGAGGACTTTGGACTCCTGATCCTCCTGCCTCAGCCTCCAAAGTGCTAGAATCATAGTTATGTATCATCACACTCTATTCCAAAACTGTTATAGATGTTTTGTTTCAATCTGTTCAATTGAACTAGGAGCAGAATAAACTATATGTATATATATATATATATATATATATATATATATATATATGTATATATATATTTTTTTTCTAGACAGGGTTTCTCTGTGTAGCTTTGGCGCCTTTCCTGGATCTCACTCTGTAGCCCAGGCTGGTCTCGAACTCACAGAGACCCGCCTGGCTCTGCCTCCCGAGTGCTGGGATTAAAGGCATGAGCCACCACTGCCCTGCTAGCATCTTAATCTATACTTCTCTGTTCCTTTTTTCTCTTTCCCCACTCCCTCCCTTTTTCTCATTCCCTCCCCTCGGGTCTCACGACCTCTCTCTCTCTCCTCCTCCTCCTGTCCCTATTAATTGCTTGAAGAGACAGTTGCCCACTAAAGGACACTAAAGTTTCTCATGTCTGCACTTCGTTGGTGACAGCTCTGTGTTGTCTGTGTCTTCATTTTCCATGAATTGATGACTAGATCTAGAAGTGAAGGGTTTCACTTAAGTGTGGTCACAGGTACAAGGCTCCAGGAACTACGCAGGACTGCGGTAGCTTCTGTGATGACTTTCCTGCTTCCAGGTCTGTCCAGGTGTCCCTGGTTCAACAGTCACCCTTCCTCAGCAAACCTGGAAACAACCATTTTCTCTAAGAATCCCTTGTTTCCTTTAGTGAGGGATGGTAATTTAGAAATCACTGTCTGCACGCTAGGGATGCTATGTAGGTTGTCAAAGTTCGTCATGGTGGGAAGAGCTGGGGAAAGAATTACATAATTATAACATGTAGGGTGCTGCATGCGTTGCCGCCGCCCCTTAAGAGGGTAACAGGGCTGAAGACCCCCTGTTGTGACGTCATTCTGCGGTGGGTTATTATTTCCGTGGCTGTGGTGTTGCCACTTCAGAGAAGCTAACCACACACAGTCTTGTAGACGTGTAGCATGAACACGAGGATTTCCGATCTGCGAACCCTCGGGGATGCTCCGAGGGCAAACAGCTGCCCAGGCTTTGATTGTCAAGTGAAGGGCTAATGGCTGACACTAGACCAGCCTCATTGCCTAGTCTAGCAAGGAGCTGTGTCATAGACTGACACTGGATGTCAGCTACTGCCTGGTTCAGGACTTTGTATATCTTTTATCCTTTTCTCCAAGCGTGAGAAATACTATAGATTTCAAAAGCAAAAATGTTGGCCTACAGTGGCACTGAGGAAGGTGTTTCCACCAGTAAAGAAACTTCCCGCTCAGCCACTTAGCTCTAAAATCCAGAAAAGACAGTGTCGTGCCCTCTGCCCACCAGATGGTGCGGCCCATAGTTAAGACCGGTCCTCCCACCTCAGTTCACCACATCCAATTCTCACAAGTGTACCCAGAGCTTTGTCTCCTAGGGGGTTTGGGATCCTATCAGATGGTAGTCAGTATCAGCCGCTACAATCATATTTATAAAGCCCTAATGCCCTGAGTCAAGGACCAGACCCAGGACTCTCAGCAGTGTGATGAACCTACCCCTGTGCAACTGATATTCTAGCAAGAAGGAATATGTAACAAATAATACGAAAATTAGTAAGAAAATAATATACAGCGTTAGAAATTTCATGTAATCAGGACAGAAGCATCTAAATTTTCTCCCTCTTAAACCCATGAAAGTTTTCCTTCCTCCCACCCTCCATCCCTCTGTTTTCCCTCCCTTCCTACCTCCCTCTCTCCCTCCCTCCATCCCTTCCTTCCCTCCCTCCTTCCCTCCCCAGTAAAACCCATGAGGCTAAGGAGAAGTCAAATGTCAACAGTGATGCTATGTGGAAAGTGGATGGACAGTGTTAACCGCCCTCGATCTGACAGAGCCAAATCCCCAGGCAGAACCTGGAATGCTGAGCAATAATGAGGCTGATGAGGCAGAGGATTTTCTGCACCAAGTACCCTTATCCCTGAGGCAAAGATGGTACTGTTAAAATAAGGAAGACTAGGTCTCAAATGTATGAGAGATTGTGCCCCTCCATGACACTAAGCATCCACCCCAACAAAAAGTTTGTTCTATAAGAAGGAAAACCAGGACTCTGGGCTGAAGGGCAGCAGGCAAAAATGAGAACATGGGAACCTTGTGCTTCCAAAGGGTAAAACCAACAGCCACACCCACAGACTGAGAGTCAGAATGACCTCTCACTATGGCAGATGTGCCTTCTGATTCAGAAGAGAGATGTTCTCTAGAAAGTTCCCAGAAGCCCATCTCTCATTGAAATGTGACTGAAGGAGCGTAGGTGCTGGACTATTTGGTCAAACATTATTCTGGATTTATCTGTGAGGTGTTTCTGATGAAATTAACCACATCTGAGCAGGTAAACTGAGTAAAGCAGGTTGCCCTCCATAATTGGTGTGGGCATCATCCAATCGGACGGAGGTCACAACAGAAGAGAAAGGAGGGACATGAGGGCCGCCTCCTCAGAGTTGAGGCATGAGCTTTGTGAACGGCAGCAAAGGCTGTTCTTGGGTCTCCAGCCTGTTCCATAGCACCAGGAGGGGCTTGTCAGCCTTCACAATCACATGACCACCTGAACTGGTTCCCTACTTCACACACACACACACACACACACACACACACACACACACACACACACACGTGGGGTTTGTTTTTGTTTTTGGAGAACCCTGACTAATACACACACAGCAAAATATTAGTCATTTATGAAGACTGAATAAAATATGCTCAGACATATAAGGTCTTCAATATTCTCAATATTCTTCAATTTTCTCAAGAAGCTATTGAAGAACATGTTCCACCAAAAAGAAAGAATAAAACCATAATTGGAAAAAAACAGTTAAAAGATAGGAGTCTAATCTATGACATAGTGTAAGGAGTTCACAGGATTCTGAAAACAGCTAACTGTCCTCCACACAGAGAAGGCAGACCAGCCTGGGGACACCAGAGACAGGTCTGTGTGGGGCCTTCTTCTACAGAGCTCTGCTGTCTGGGGCCAATGACTAGAAGATGCTGCAGACAGCCTGACCCACAGTTTTCTTGTGCTGGTCTTATCTTAACCATGCACTGAGTCTCTTCCCCTCTCTCTGCCTTCCTAGTGGGCTAGCTGAGGGTGCTCACTCAACACCACACCATGCTCTGCTCTCCTCTGTCTCTAGAAGTGGGGGCGGCGGGTGGGTTAAGGAAAGAAAGCTGAGAGAAGCAGAAACGTGAAATGATCCATTCCTCTACTGCTGCTCTTCCATGACAGATGTCTGGTCCCTGGTCACGCTCAGCCTTGCCTGACTTGCACAGAAAGGTCTATTGAAACCCTGAATTCAGGTTTTCAGATGCGTTTCCCTCCCACGGTAGCAGACCTTCCCTTTCCTTAGCAAGCTGGGTTTGCAATTATTACTTCATTTTTCAATGAAACAGTTCATTTACACTAATGTTTTTGTAGGTGATAGAGCCATGAAAGAAATCAAGAATGGATTATTAATCTTCCTTGGCTGCATAACAAACTACACAGAGTTAACAGTTTAAAACACCCCTCAACTATTGTCTATAAATGAGGTGTCTGGATGAGAGTGGTTGGGAGCTTAAAAAAAAAAATCCTCTCCCAAGCTCATCCAGACTGTTGGCGGAATTCAGGTTCTCTAGCTGGCAGTCTGGAATTCAGGTTCTCTAGTTGGCAGTCTGGAATTCAGGTTCTCTTGTTGGTAG